CCGAGATCACACTGCTGCACTCCAGCCTGGGTGACAGAGCAAGACTCCGTCTCAAAAAATATTAATAATAAAATAAAATAATTTAATCCATTTCCCATTTGCCCTGAGAATACTTGTGCGGCTGCAGCATTTTCCCTGAGATAACTCTCGGGCAGACATCATTCTGCAGCATTCTCTTTTTAGTAGTGGTATTTCCATTTACAAAATATAGTGATCCTCAATCACTGAAAATGTCAAATCCTAGAAAACATAGCATTCCTATGCATGATGTTAATTCCGTGGTGAATTTATGGCACCAAAATGGTTTGGCAAGGAGGTGACAATGTTTTCAACATTCCACAATGATACTGTTATTGAGCTAGACCACAGAAATGGAAATAAAACTAAGAGGCCATGTGTCATTGTGGAATATAACGAGAATATGGGCATGGTGGACTTGGTTGATCAGATGCTCTCTTCTTATCCAACTGAGCGCAAAAGGCACAAGGTTTGGTATAAGAAACTCGTTCGCAACCTTCTAAACATGGCAGTGCTGTGCTCCTACATCCTGCTCGAGAAGGACAATCCTGAGCACACGATTAGCCGTGTAAATTTCAGACTGACACTGATAGGAAGAATGCTGCAAAAGCATCCCAAGCCAGGGTGGTAACATCTTTGAGGTCATCCGTGCTCTGATGATATCACACCTCTTCACCTGTCTGGAAGACACTTCCCCAAGAGCATACCACCCATATCAGGGAAACAGAATCCAACTGGTAGCTGCAAAGTTTGCTGCTCACACAACAGGAATGGCAAGAAGATCTGAAGAGAAAGGCGACATTTTTGTGCAGAATGTGATGTTCTGCTTTGTGTTGTTCCACGCTTTGCAATTCACCACATGAAAAAAATTAAATACTAATCATCAGATATATTTCTGTTACATTAGAATTAGAGACAATTTAACTTTAGAAATAAATAACTCCAGGCACGGTGGCTCATGCCTGTAATCGCAGCACTTTGGGAGGCTGAGGCTGGTGGATCACTTGTGGCCAGGAGTTCAAAACCAGACTGGCCAACATGGTGAAACCCCATCTCTACTAAAAATACAAAATTAGCAAGGTGTGGTGGTGGGGACCTGTAATCCCAGCTACTCGGGAGGCTGAGGCAGGAGAATCGCTTGAACCCGGGAGGCAGAGTTTGCAGAGAGCCGAGATTGCACCATCGCATTCCAGCCTGGGTGACAGAGCAAGACCTTGTCTCAAAAAAGAAAAGAAAAAAGAAATAAATAACCCCCAGAAGATTTTTTACATTTTATTTTCACACTGAAAATCAGTCAGATTTGCTTCAGCCTCAAAGAGCATGATAATGTAAAGTTAAATGAGTGCTGGCAGCGAGCAGCACTTTTTTTTTTTCTAAATGGCAGTGGGTTAAACAAGAGACACACAGCAAAGAAGATGCAGCACAGAGCAATTTATTGCAAAGGAGAAAGAATGTTCTGAAAGTTAGGTACAGAATAGACAGTCCACCCTGTGGGGTTATTCTGAGCGGGGAAACTCCCTTTAGGGGAGTCTTACCTAAGGGGATAGGAAGAGGTGTTGCTAGCAAGCATGTTTTGGATGGTCCTCTGGGCGAACATGTGCAGTACCACATGCTTGTTCATACACTGCATGTCTCAGTAGCATCTTAAATCTCTACCCAGAGGTGTGTTTTTTACTATTATAGTGAGCAAAGCATCAGTCTGAGGACAGGTAAAATCAAAATGTGCATGCTCTCCATGGGAGAAGTTCCCCACTGGAGATAGCTTTGCTTGAATGAGCTGGACTACAGTGCAAATGCTGGGGCTTATTGTGTGGACGGTCACAGTCACAGCCATGGTTGCTGTGGTCTGAGGACACATTACTCCCTTGCCTATCTATCCTGCCTTAGTATGTACTTCCTAGGTTTGTCCAGAGGGTTATATGAATTCACAGCAATTCCAGGTGCATATAAGCTATGGTAGCTAAACTAGTGGTCTACGAAAGATGTCCACATCCCAAACTCCAGAACCTGTGAATGTTACCTTACATGGCAAAAGGGATCTAGTAGGTGTGATTAAGGATTTTGAGATGGGGGCATTATCCTAGTGGACTCAATATAATTGAAAATGGAAGAGGGAAGTAGGAGGGTTAGAATCTGAGAAGGAGCTGTGACAATGAAAGCAGAGGCGAGGGTGTTTATGTGTGGTGGGGAGAGATTGATCTGAACCTGCTGCACTGCCAGCTTTGAAGACGAAAGAAGGGGCCACAAGCCAAGGAATGCAGGTGGCCTTTAGAATCTGAAAAAAGCAAGGGAATGAGCTCATTAAACACAGCCCTTCTGACACAGTGATCTCAGGAATTCTGACCTCCAGAACTGTAAGAGAATAAATTTGTGTTTTGGGCTGGGTGTGGTGGCTAACTCCTGTAATCCCAGCACTTTTAGAGGTCGAGGCGGGAGGATGGCTTGAGCCCAGGAGTTCAGGACCAGCCTGGGCAACATAGACACCCTATCTCTAAAAAAAAAAAAAAAAAAAAAAAATTATTACCTGGACATGGTGGTGCATGCCTGTAATCCCAGCTACAGCTACTCAGGAGGCCAAGGCAGGAGGCTCGTTTGTGCCTGAGAGGTTGAGGCTGCAGTGAGCTATGATCATGCCACTGAATTCTAGCCTAGGCAACAGAGTCAGACCCTGTCTCAAAAAAAAAAAAAAAAAAAAAAAGATGTGTTTTTAAGCCACTACGTTTGTGGGATTCTGTTATAGCAGCCACAGGAAACTAACATAGTGTTCCTTAAATGTTAGCCACTGCCCTTAGGTAGACCCTTTAGCGTGATGTCAGGCACACGGTTGGGGCACTCAGTAAATGATAGTAACAATGAATAGAATTCACCAGGATGCCTCTACCTTTTCTGCTTGACTTTTGGCATCTTCAATATCTGAAATTTGAGGTTTGTGTTTTTAAATAAAATTCTAAATCAGAGACTTTGTTCTACCATTCAGACCTAATTTCACACTTTAATGAATGTTAATCATTTTGTTACAGAGACAGGCAGTGATGATAGGGAGCACCCCTCAGGGTGGAAGTCAGATAGCCTGAGCCCAGTCGCAGCTCTGCCTCTATCTGGCTGTGTGACTTAGGTCATCTTGCTTCCCCTCTCTGGGCTTCATTTTCACTATTTAGAAAAGGAGGGAATTAATGTAAAAATAACTGCCATTTTTTGGATAGCTATGATGTGCAATGTATACTTGAAGTTGTTTTTTTTTTTTTTTTTTTTTTGAGCCTCACAAAACCTGTGCAAGGTATCACCCCCATTTTAGAGAAGTTAAGTGATTCACCCAAGGTCAGAGCATTGGTATTTGGCAGAGCTTGGATTTGAAACCAGAGCTGTTTGACTCTTTTTTTGGTGAACCCCTCTACCTTTCCCACATTTCCCTGACCTCAATGCCATCTTTAAAGGACAGATTTGACCAGGCTCAGTGACTCACCCCTGTAATTCCAACACTTTGGGAGGCTGAAGCAGGCAGATCACCTGAGGTCAGGAGTTCAAGACCAGCCTGGCCAACATGGTGAAACCCTGTCTCTACTAAAAATACAAAAATTAGCCAGGCATGGTGGCACATGTCTGTAATCCCAGCTACTCGGGAGGCTGAGGCAGGAGAATCGCTTGAACCCAGGAGGCGGAGGTTGCAGTGAGCCGAGATCGTGCCACTGCATTCCAGCCTGGGCGGCAGAGCGAGACTCCTTCTCTAAATAAATAAATAAAGGATAGATTCATGTGGCTCCTGGTTTTCGCTGTAGGTTACCATGAGAACTAGGGTGGGGCTGTGAACAGCCCTAAGACCTCCCTCCAGCCCTCTGCCTTTCCACATGGGGACCCTGGAAATGGGTCCACCTTGTGTGGTCCTGAGAACTTGTGACTAAGCCCCTTAGAGGCTTCCCTCGATGATGACCCATTTCCCATCTTACCTTTTGTGACATACACTACTAGTTACTTAACCAATGCCTTTACTCCCCTTCTTACTTAGTAACAGAATCCCAATTTTGTTTGAATGACAATATGCCCAGTTAAAAATACCCTTGCAGCTGGTCCTCTGACCCAGTTCTGACCAATGAGAGGAACAGGAAAATCTGGATGAGGCTTCCTTGGAATCTCTTGTCTTCCTCATACAAAGGGGTAGGGAAAGCTCATCAGGAACATGACTTCTCCTGTTTGCTTTTGCTTTTATTCCTACCTGGAATGTAGGTGAGACTTCTGGAAGTGGGGCAGCCATCTTGTGACTATGAGGGTGAGAGCCAGCTGCTCAGGATAGCAGATCAGGAAGATAAAAAGAGCTTCAACCCTTAAGGATTTCTTTGAGCCTCTGTACCTGCCTGGACTGCCTACCACTGAACTTCTTGTTAGGTGAGGGGAAAAAAACTGTATCTGGTCAGACTTGTTACATACAACTCAATGTAATTTTGACTGACAAGTTCCCCAAGACAAGTCTCTTGTCTGTCCTGTAGCCCTGATATGTGGTGTTAATAAGCATCTGTGGTGACCCAAAAATAGACTTTGGGATGGAGACATTGGCTGTGGCTCTGATTCTGAACTTGCTGACCCATCACCTGTTCCATTTGTGCTCTGAACAAGAGTACTGTTAATTATCAGTCCCCTCGGCCAGCCAGAGCACAGGGGGCTGCGTCTGTGTGCTTTCAGAGAAGTTCAAATATAGCTCAGGCTCCTCCACTGCTTTTGCTGAGTGTGCAGCATCTGCAAGTCTGGCAGCCCCAGTGCAGAGTAGGGAAGCTTTTCCTGGAAGGCTAGGGTCTGAACAAGGGGCCAGAAGCCAGGGATGTCGGCAGGCCTGGCTCAAGCAAACAAGATTTCCTACTTGTGAGGTGGGTGCACTACTTTCTAGTTAGTAGATAACAGAACTTGCTTTGGGTCAAATTAAGACCTAGAGGGTGCAGGGATGATGTGTTAGTTTCGTTCTTTGGTTACATGCAACAGAAGTGAACTCTGTATAACTGGATAAAAAAAGGTTTATTGGAAAAATATGGGATGGCTTACAGAATCATAGGCAAAGCTGAAAAATCTACTTGAGAACAAAAAAAAGTCATACATCCAGGAGGTCTTGATAGCAGAAACCGGCATTGGAATGACATTTGGGTCATGTACCCATTCTTCAGTTGAAGGAGGATAGGATGCCTTTACTGGAGTTTTTCTAGATGATCTTGGAGATTGGAAAGAGTGGTTTACCAGAAGTAATGGAGGTTTCTAGTACCTGAAGAATGGTGAGAAGATGTTGGTCAGTACAAATTTTTAAAAAATGTTCACTGAAGATAATAGAGTTGGTCAGGTGCATGGGTTTTGGGATCAGACTGACCTTACTTAAAATCTTAGCTCTGCCCTTTACTGTTTGTCCTTGGTTAAGTCAATTAACCTCAGTTTCCTCACCTATGTGTGATGAGAATGAGACATGTTTAAATCCACTAGAGTGTCAGCTGTATAAGAGCAGGGATTTGTGGGTTCCTTCTTTCCACTCTTACACCCCCAGCACCTAGACAAGGGCATGGCTCATCACTGACATTAATTGAATGGATGAATAAACTTTACATTTGTCCCAGAATACTTCTTAGATAGAAAGCTATTTTGCTGAAAATATAACGAGGTAGGTGCTTGGAGTGAAATGTGAGCATTGCTCCTGCCTCACTGCTTCACTCCGGGGAGGGTGAAGGAGATTCGGGCAGACGTTGAGAGAGAGGAACAGATGCACACGCTATAGTCTCTCTACCTGATGCACCCCCAGCAGCACGCCGGCCTGCTTACTCACAAGCACAGTCCCTGTACCCTCATACTCACAAGCTTTAGCTGAAAACAACTAGGCTCGTTGATGCAGGATGAGTCCATCCCAGAAGTCTTCAGGACTTCCGGGCACAACGTTGGCGGGTTACACTCTGCTCATAGGTTTAATGTGTTGAGAAGTCTGAAGTCACCATGCTCCTACTTTTCGTAGTGAACCATGACATCATGGCAAGTAGAATAAATTACAGCCCCAGGGAATGCATGCATTGTTAAAAAATACATACAACAGGACTTAACTGGTGGAATGAATGCACATTAATTCTTCAGTCATGTTTTCATCTACCAGTCTTGACAAGATGAAATTCTAAGTCATTTCACTCCCCAGGGCCATTGTAGAAATACAAAGCATAAAAGAAAGAGACAAACCTTGAATAGGGGTGCTGGTACCCATGATCTTTAGCCCCTCCAATAACCAGCATCTCTGCCAAGGAATTTTGGTACCCATAATCGCTAGCCCCTCCAATAATCGTCACACTCACAAGCACCACCACAGGTCACCACCACCACCACCAAGCCCCATATTGCTGGCAGTGGCAGCAACAACAGTAGCAGCACCAGCCAAAGGTGAACTGCTTCTCCACCTCATCAGTTTCACCACAAAAATCAGCAGCGACATGGTTACCACCAGATAGTAAATGATACTGGGGCCCCGTCCATGTGCCCACATTGGTTTCAAGTTAAAGAAACCAAATTTGAACTAGCTTTAATAAAAAGGGGTTTCTATTTGGCTCAAATCCATCCTTAGGAGGGACTGGGAGCTGGCCTTAGGGCTAACTGGAATAAGGAATCCAAAACTAAACAGTTTCTCTCTCCCCGCCTCTCTTTTTCCCTGCCACCTCTCGCCATCTCTTTCTTTGTTTCTCCTTGCATCCTATGGTCTTGTCAAGAGCAGGGATAAGGGAAGGCTGTTCCAGCTACCCCAAGCCCTTTCTTCCATCTGATTGCAGAGAATAGCTGTCCAAATCGTTCAGAGGGTGGTGGGATCTTGACCTGGGGTTTCATGGATCTCTCTGATCTATGAGACAGAGATTGTGAAGAATTTGAAAAATCTTATGGATTGGAATAGTCGCAGAAGCTCATCTTCTTTCCCCATGATTGGGATTCCTGTACGTGTCTGCAGGCCTTCCTGGGAAGCAGGTGGTGTAAAGTGTGTATAAGTAGAGGGTAGGGGGAAGAGTGTGGCTTTAATGTCACAGAGATCTAGATGCAAACAGTAACTTTCCTGTGCCTGCCTGGTACATTGCCTGATAGACATTTGATGGTTAACTGGCCAAGTGGCTTTAGGCAAGTTACTTTACTTCTCTGAGTCTCCATTTCCCCATAAAATGGAGATGACCAGCATACTTAGCAGGCAGAGTTGTGATGATTTAGTCAAGCACTTGGAACATACCTGGTGCTTAGTCAACATTAGTTCCCACGCCCATTCGCTTTTGCAACAGAATTAGCTCTCTGCTGTTATGCCATTTCCAACTTGGCCAGTGGGGTAACCCCCAATCTCACCCAGGGATAGGCTAAAGGGAAATGTATCAATATTAAGAAATATTTGTATGAGACCCTAACTCTTTGCTCTGCTAGCAGTTACATAAATCTCAAAGTCATCTTCATCTTTCCCTGCCACCCTGGCTGGCCTCCAGGCAATTAAACATTGATGTCGTAGCTATACTTATCTTCTCCTCCCTCTTTCAGCCAAGCCTTGGACATCAATCCTGTCTTTCAAATAAAAAATTTAACCCTCACATTTGTGGAGTTCTTCAGTATATGTAGCACTTCCAAATTCCCTTTTTTGACATACTCATTATAAGGAATTAAAGCAATATTTAAAAAGTACAAAGAATAAAGTAAAAAAGTCAAATGATCAAGGTCAACATCACCAGTGAGAAGTCATGTGGAGATCACGTGCCCTTTCATGTAATGAATGGGATGATAAGACACATCACTTCTGTGGTTTTCTTCCCCAAAGCCTAAAACCTCAGTCAAATCATGACAAAACACCAAACACGTCAAAATTCAGGGACATTCTAAAAGTATCTGACCACCACTTTTCAAAAGTGTCAAGGTTTTGAAAGGAAAGGAAAAACCAAGAAACTGTCATAGGCCAGAGGAGACAAAGGAGATGTGATACCTAAACGCAATGTGGTATTCTGGTTTGCAAAGTAGAACACAAAAAAGACATCAGTGGAAAAATTAGAAAATCTGAATGAAGTACGCATTGTAGTTAACAGCATCATACTATAATAATTACCAAGTTAATGTCTTAATTTTTATACATGTAGCATGATTGCATAAGATGTTGACATTAGAGGAAGTTGAGTGAGGAGGAAATCAGAACTTTCTGTCCCATCTTTACAACTTTTCTGTAAATCTACAATCATTTCAAGATTAAAAGTTTAAAAACAAAAATAAAAAGCCAGAAATGAACATAATTCATATGAGATGAACACCACTCCACACATCTTTCAATGCATCGATACAGACAGGTAATCAGAAATAATTTCTAAAAATTATTTGATATTATAATACTCTTCTTAAGTTTTGAAGGGTATTTCATTTATTTTACTTGAATTTAATGGAATTTTAGAAACAAATGCAAAGAAAGAATTTATGAACTTTAGATAGCAATTTTTCCACCAAAAGAAATATATGAGCCCCTTAAAGATCCCTCCTGAAAACATTAAGAGGTTGCAGACATTGTTGTTTGTAGCCATATATATCAATTTTAGATGGTGACTACATGCAATAAAACACTGGCACTGTTATACTTTTCCATCTTTTCTCCCCTAACTTCCTGTTTTATGTTGCTACTTTTACTATGTTGTTATTTTTACTTTAATGGAGTGAATCAGTTAAAGACTGCTTTTAGGCCGGGCGTGGTGGCTCACGCCTGTAATCCCAGCACTTTGTGAGGCCAAGGTGGGCAGATCACCTGAGGTCAGGAGTTTGAGACCAGCCTGGCTAACATGGTTAAGCTCCATTTCTACTAAAAATACAAAAAATTAGCTGGGCCTGGTGGCACTACCTGTAATCCCAGCTACTCAGGAGGCTGAGGCAGGAGAATTGCTTGAACTCGGGAGTCATAGGTTGCAGTGAGCCGAGATTACACCATTGCACTCCAGCTTGGGCAACAAGACGGAAATTCCATCTCAAAAAAAAAAAAAAAAAAAAAAAGATTGCTTTTAGCCGTGAATTACAGAAAGCCTGAGAAGCTAGTGTCTTAAATAAACAAGTAGTGAAGAGTTAGGCAGTTGCCGTCACCATTTCAGTGCTTCAAAGATATCACGGTTGAAGGGGCTGTTAATTCTCCTGGGATTTTCCTTATGATTGCAAAACAGCTGCTGCAGCTCCAGCCATCATGTTCTTACTCCACCCAGGAAAAAGGAGAGAATGACTAAATCAGGAAAGGAAAGTTTTCTGTGAATTCCTAGTCTGTATTTCATTGACCATAACTGTGTTATATGCCACCCCTAGCTGCAACAGAAGCTAAGAAATGTGGAATTTTTTTTTTAACTAGGCACATTTGATGGCTTCAATCAAATTAGTATTTCTTAGTAAGGAAGATGGAAATAACTGATAATTCTCAGTTATTTTTCCTCATTTTATATTTAAGCCTGTTTAGTATTTACCAGCAATTTTATATACCAAAGATTTTTAAAATGTAATTTTTTTAGATCCACTAGAAACATTTAGTGAAATTTTTTTATATCCACCGGATTTTAATTTTTAGATCCATCTTTATTTTGATCCACGTCTTGATTGGCAAGATTTTATTGTCAGGAGTGAGCTGAAGCTGGGATCTTGAGAAACACCCACAGTAACCTACCTTGTACTTCTCTAATTTCTCCACCGCCCTGGAATTACACTTGAAATGGAAAGAAAGAATCAAGGTGGCCCAAACCTAGTTCCCTTGCCCAGGCAGAAGCCGCCCCTTTAAAAGAGAGAGGAGGCAGAGATGGCTCACTGCTGCCAGAAAAAGGCTTCTGATGGACAGCCAGTGTGCTCCCTGGAGACCTGGTGTCATCACCAGTGAGCAACAAGGCATCCAACTGGCAGCTGAACAATGAATTGTTGCTGTGACCACGACGGCTCAGTGGCCAGGATGGCTACATGCAGCCTTTGCCCAGTTGAATTTTAAAGTCGGAGGCACTTATCTTAAGGGTGTTGCTTCTTGTTCATCTAAGGCTACTCAGGGACTCTCACTCACATTTACCTCCAAACAGGGCTGGCCACTGAACTTCTCTCCACCTTTCTCTGCTTCCTTGGAACCACGGTGTTGTGCCTGCAAGATCAGACTCAGGTTGGTGCCCAGCACTGGAGTCCTTGAAAAGCTCTGCCACCCCCAGGGTTCTAGGTCTGGACTACAGCCTGGCCGTCATGTGCATGTTCTCCCCCAGCCCCCAAGAATAAGATAATACAGGCTCATTGAAGGGATGGGGAATGCAGGGGAAGGAAAGCACAGAAGGCCAGGCATGGTGGTACGTGCCTGTAATCCTAGGTACTCAGAAGGCTGAGGCAGGATTGCTTGAGCCCAGGAGTTCGAGTCCAGCCTAGGTAACATAGCAAGCCCCCATCTTTAAAGAAAACCCCCAAAAACTAAAAAACAAAAAAATTTAAAAGCCCATACATACACAGAATAGTATAAAGAATAAAATGAAAATTACACTTAGCAACAATCACTGCTAATTTTTTTTTTTTTTGGCCAGGGCTTTTTCTATGCATTTATGTATTTTTAAAGTGAGATATAACTTACATAAACTTGTATAAAACACACAAATTTTAACTGTACAACTGGCTTAATTTTTGCGTATGTATACATCCATGCAACCCAGCAGGCTTTCCAATTGACAACCTCTTTCCCCTCCAACCTTGATCATGACACCCTGGTCTTTCCTATTTTTAAACTTCATAAAAATAGCACATATGCATTTTTAAAATTAAAATGGGACATAACTATTATACATCATTTTCCCCATTTGATATATCATGAACATTTCCTGGTGTCATTGTTGTTTCAGAACTTATTTTAATGACTATGTATTTTATCATATGATCCTACATGATTTATTTAATGTTCCCCAATTCTTGCACATTTAGCTTATTTCAGAATTTTTGCCATTTTAAATAGGACTATGTAGAGCATCTTTTTTACACCCAGTGTTCCAGAGGATAGGATAACAAGGTGGTTCAGAGAATGGGTTTTGGAGTTAAAGAGATCAGGATTTGAGCATCCTGTCACTTATCAGCTACTTGAACTTAATCAACTTACACCACCTCCTTGGGACTCAGTTTCCCCACCTAAAAATTGACTTGACAATGCTCCTCACATTGCATGTTGCTATAAGGGCTAAATGAGCTAAGTCTAAGTGCTTAGCATACTGTCTGCACAGAGTGAACACCCTGTAAATGTTGAGCTGCTATTATTCATCTTTGTGTTCACTTCTAATTATTTCCTTAGGAGAAATTCGTAGAAGTAGAATTGCTGGATCAAAAAGAGTGCTTGTCTTTAGAATTTTTAAATACAGTCTGCCAAATTGCCCTCCAGAAAAGCTGTGTCAACTCACACAACTACCAGCTGTGCTTGAGAATACCGTTTCACCACTCCCTCAACAATGAGTTTCGGAAGGAAGGAGGGAAGGAAGGAAGGAAGGAGGGAAGGAAGGAAGGAAGGAAGGAAGGAAGGAAGGAAGGAAGGAAGGAGAGAGGGAGGGAGGGAAGGAGAGAAGGAAGGAGAGAGGGAGGGAGGGAAGGAGGGAAGGAAGGAGAGAGGGAGGGAGGGAGGGAAGGAGGGAAGGAAGGAAAGAAGGAAGGAAGGAGAAGGGAAGGGAAGGGAAGGAGGGAGAAAGGGAAGGAAGGAGGGACGGAAGGGAGGAAGGAAAGGAGAGAGGGAAGGAGGGAAGGAGGGAGGGAGGGAAGGAAGGAAGGAAGGAAGGAAGGAAAAGAAAAAAGAAACTTTGCCAATCAGACAAGAAAAAAATACCCTTTGTTGTTTTACTTTCTAATGAGGCTGAACACTTCCTTTTTTCATATTGGCCATTTGTTTTTCTTCATTTGGAAATTTGCCTAGTCAGATCTTTTACTGTTTTTTCTTTTGGGATGTGGGCTGTTCTTTCAATAACTGGACCACTACCCAATTCAAGAAGTCTGTTCCACAGTTCCTGTGACAGGGCTCTGACCTTGGTCCCTGCCCCAAATTGTCACCTTGGTGTCTGCCTGATTTGATGGCTCATCTAGGTTTGGGCTTCTGCTCCATTCTTGCCAAGGCCCCTTGCCAACCTGAGATATACAGATGCCCAGAGCAACTAAGAAATCAGTGTCACTTTTTCCTTTAAATAAATGTTTGCTCAACATTTGTTTAGAAGAGAAGCTGGGTCATGCATGAAGCAACAACTGGGAAGGAAGACCTCTTGTGACAATACTTTGCATCATCTATTACAAGCAATTCAGCTCTGGCCCCAAACTTGCATTACTGGCTTAAAGAAATTAGAGTCCTGTAGTTAAGCATAGCTGTCTTTCTAGAAGGCAGTTTAACATCATCCTCCCTTCTCCTAATACTCCAAGTATTTATTTTAAAAGTATACTTAACCCCTGAACAACACAGGTTTGAACTGTGTAGGTCTATTTATGGGCAGATTTTTTTCAATAAATATATTGAAGTGTTTTTGAAGATTTGTGACAATTTGAAAAAACCCACAGATGAAACATACCCTAGAAATATCAAGAAAAGGAAAAAGGAAATATCATATGTCATCAATGTATGAAAATATGCAAATACTTATCTATTGTTTTCATTTACTACCATAAAATATACACACATCTATTATAAAAAGTTAAAATTCATCAAAACTTACACACAAACAGATGGTGCATGGCGCCATTCACAGTTAAGAGAAATGTCAACAAATGTGAAGATGCAGTATTAACTCATAATTGCGTAAAATTAGCTATAGTTAAAAAAATAGCCAAGTGTAGTGACATATGACTATAGTCCTAACTACTCAGGAGGCAGAGGTGGGAGGATCACTAGAGCCCAGGAATTCGACTCTGCAGTGAACTATGAACACACCACTGCACTCCAGCCTGTGCAACAGAGCAAGACCCTGTCTCAAAAAAAGTACAAACAAAAAACTGTAGTACATACTGTACTACTGTAATAATTTCATAGCCACCTCCTATTGCTATTGCTGTGAGCTCAAGGGTTGCAAGTTTCCACTTAAGATGCTGTGTGCCGCTAATCATCTCTGCACGAGCAGTTCATCTCTCCAGTAAATTGCCTGTGGCAGTAAAAAGTGATCTCATAACGTTCTTAGGTATTTTTCGCTGTGTTTAGTGCAATGCCATAAACCTTGAATGACATCATGGGACCCATAACAAGTGCTACCAGTGATGCAAGAAGTACTCCCAAGAAGTGAAGAAAAATTGTGACATTATAAGAAAGAGTGGAATTGCTTGATATGTATGATAGGTTGAGGCCTGCAGCTTAGGTTGCCTGCCTTTTTCAGGCAGACAATTCATCTTGTAAATCAATAACATAAACTTATGGTTTCAATAAGTACAGTATGGTAAATATATTTTGTCTCTCATGGTTTTCTTTTTTCTTTCTTTCTTTTTTTTTTTTTGAATCAGGGTTTCACTCTGTTGTCTAGACAGGAGTGCAGTGGCGTGATCTCTGCTCACTGCATCCTTGACCTACCTGGGTTTAAGCGATCCTTCCACCTCAGCCTCCTATGTAGCTGGAACTACAGGCGCCCGCCACCATGCTCAGCTAATTTTTTTGTATTTTTTATAGAGACAGGGTTTTGTCACGTTGCCCAGGCTGGTCTCAAGCTCCTGGACTCAAGGGATCGGCCTGCCTCAGCCTCCCAAAGTGTTGAGATTATAGGCATGAGCCTTGGTGCCCGGCTCATTGTCTTTTCTCTAGCTTACTATAAGAATATAGTATGTGATACATATAACATACAAAATATGTGTTAATTGACTGTCTACGTTCTCAATAAGGCTTGTGGTCAGCAGTAGGCTATTGGTAGTTAATAGGAGTTTAGGGGAAGTTAAGTTATCCTTGGATTTTCGAGTGCATGGGGGTTGGCGCCCCTAACCCCCACAAAGTACAAGAGTCAACTATATCACCTTCAAATACATATGGTGATAGCCTTGAGAAAGTCAGGTTAATATAGTTTTCTCCATGTCATTTTATTTCTAAAATTCTTTTAGAGTCCCAGAGATGCTTTAGCACCTTCTGTAGGTGCCCATCTGACTAGTGCCTTACTGGTTCTGTTTGGTTTGGGTAGGGTCTGGATTTTTGGGGTCATCTCTTGCTAAAGAAGTGATCCAGGAGGCAGTGTCATGAAGGGAGGGGTATTGAAAACTTGGCTGAGAGTCAGGCACTGTGGCTCACATCTGTAATTCCAGTACTTTGGGAGGCTTAAGCAGGAGGATCACTTGAACCCAGGAGTTCGAGACCAGCCACAGTAACATAATGAGACCCTCTTTCTAAAAAAAATAAAAAATAAAAAATAAAAAAAATTAAGTAAATTCTCCAGGAGTGATGGCTCATGCCTGTAGTCCCAGCTTCTCGGGAGGCTGAGGTGGGAGGATCCTTTGAGTCATCCAGGAATTGAAGGCTGCAGTGAGCTATGATCACACCACTGCACTCCAGCTTGGGCAACAGAGCAAGATCCTGACTTCTAAAAAAATAATAATAATTTGCTTGGCATGGTGGTTCACGCCTATAACCCCAGCACTTTGGGAGGCTGAGGCAGGCAGATCACTTGAGGTCAGGAGTTCGAGACCAGCCTGGTTAACATGGTGAAACCCCCATCTCTACTAAAAAAACAAACAGACAAACAAAAAACTAATAAAACTTGGCTGTTTTGGAAGAAGATACTATTTCCTCCTATTAAATTGGAGATTTTTTTTTTTTTTTTTTTTTTTTTTTTTTTTTTTTTAGTAGAGACGGGGTTTCATCGTGTTAGCCAGGATGGTCTTGATCTCCTGACCTCGTGATCCGCCCGTCTCGGCCTCCCAAAGTGCTGGGATTACAGGCTTGAGCCACCGCGCCCGGCCTGGAGATTATTTTTTAAAGGAGAAAAAAAAGAAGGTTAAGAAAATGAATTATCTAGAATTAACCAAACATGTCAGAGAAAACCTACCAAAGGAGACAAAAGAAGACCTGAGTAAATGAGGAAATGTACTGTTTGTAGACGGTAAGAAATAGCAGTGTAATGGTGTCAATTCATGTTATTAATATTTGGGGGAGAGGAATTAAATAAGCAAAAAATGAAG